GATTAGGTCATGTGACTAGCAGCTTTCTCAGGTGGAAACGAAACTTTTACTGTCTATATGAAATCGGAAGACAAACGATGTCCCTAACCCTAACCATAACCCTAAGGATGGATATCCAACTCCGCCCACATCCAAGTCGGCCATTTTTATTACGTCACCAATAGGAAGATCCCAGGCAAGAAAATCCTAATTGCTTCATGGCAATATAGACATTCATTTAAAAATAGTGGAATTATTCTTGCAAAAACTGAATTAAACTCTATAGAGTCCTGGATCTGGACGCATTTTCAGCCCAGTCAGCATCTGTTCCAGCCTTTTTTTTTCACAGGGAAGAACTACACAGTTACCTGATGTTGAAGAAAAAGATTCAGATGAATACAAAGGAATGCGTTTCCTTGCTTCTGCCAGTTTTAGATGGAAATTATTACTCATCGTTCAATCTTCAGCTCTTTCTCTATCAGAGCACCCTCTCAGATAATGAGAAACCGTCTCTGAATTCGGACTCTTGGCCGTCTTATTCTTTCATCTCCTCTCTAAACTCATGTGCAGCCCCTTTTCTTTTCACTGGTTTTCGGGGTACAACTCGAGGTGACAACAGGAGGGCGTTTTTGTGTTTTCCAGGTGGCCCCGCGGACGGCCGGCTGCTGCCCGGCGACCGGCTGGTCAAGATCAACAACGTCGCCGTGGACGACCTGACCCCCGAGCAAGCTGCCGAAATAATCAGGTCTGCACACACACACACACACACACACACACACATACACACACACTTACACAGGATTTTAAAGCAGCTCTGACCTATTTTTGTGTCTTTTTCAGGGAGTCTCAAGACACACTGACCATGACGGTCCTCAGAATAATGCACGTGAGTCTCACAAACCCACATTCACACGAACTTCCATGAAAATTTTGGGACTTTCAGCCTTGTTTTAGTGTTTATTTTTGGTCTAAATTATTAAAGGACCAAAACATATTTTCTTTCCTGCATTAGTGAGTGAGAATGCCGATAGATGGACCCCATACAGCCGCAGGTTTTAATCATCCACTGCAGAAAAAGCATATTTATGATGATTGTATTTATTTATTAGATCGTTTTCAGCCTCTGGCGGCCTGATGAAGTTTCCATGATGAGTCTGATGAGTTGTTGGGGTCTAGTTCTGGTTCTGATGGAGGCTTTTAGCTAATAAAAATTAGATCTGAGTATTTTTCAATGCAGTCTGTTAGCTTTCTTGACTAAGCGGCTAATCTGAGATGTAATTAACTGACTGTAATTATGACTGCTTTAAAATTAATGTTGAACCGGCTCGAATTGCTCTGCGTCATTGAGATTAGATAATTGTGGCTTTTGCTGTGATTTGGCGCCTCGACGGGGTTGAATTACAGGAAAATAATATAGATATATACTGCTGAGTGAGAATAAAAGCAGATAAACAGACTAATGTTATACAAATGTTTCATCCAAAACGGAAATGAATGACCCTAATAGTCACCCTCAGCTCAAGTATTTAACTCAGATGTTTGTAAAAGAGTAGAATTGTACTTTTTTACAGTTTATTTATTGTCCCTCGTGTCACTTTCACTCATTGTGTTTCTTTTTGCTCATCAATATTTCACTCTGAAATCGGGAAAAGTGCCGACCAGGCGTCTTCCTTTAAGTTAATCTTCCCACAGCAGCACTTTACAGAACACACACTCAGTCCATCTCTTCTTCCGGTTCTGCTGCTTAACAGAAAGCGTGCGCTCACGTGCACGTGCACGGCGACGTGCACGGAGCCACTGTTGCCAGCAGCATTAATCAGCATAGCAATGAGGCAGGAAGGAGGTGGAAACGATCAGCTCCCCTGAATCACCGTTAGCTGTAATAACACGACTCAGCCCAGAACCCCCCACCCCCCACACACACAAACACACACACACTCACAAACACACACTCCATCACCTGTGCATTTAGGTGCAGTAGGTCGATGGATAAACGCTGACTCTGGCTCCCCCACAAAGTCATCCATCACTCCCAGATCCTCCCAGATCCTGCAGGAAGTCGTTACGGAGGTTTAAGGAATCAGACGCTCTGCTTTGGAAACATGCACGAAAAATAAGCAGAATTATGGAGCCAAACAAAGAGGGAGTAAACAGATTTAAGGAGGATTACGCTCCAGTTTTCTCCCACGATTCAATACTGGTTGTAACTGGTTGTTCAGTTAACGCTCAGCATGTAAACTTTCCCTCCATATTTGTTTTTTAGAAAATTTTTTATTTTTGTTTTGTGAGAGCATGACAGTACAGTAGTAGATATACTTTCATGGAATGTGTTACTACAGCCACACACAATTATTATTTGTGTGTAATATACAAAGTTAAGTAAATTAAATTAAGTAAGTTACATCTAACAACTTTGAACAAACTGGGAAAGATAGACTCACTTGAAAAAGCAAAAATAAATAAAAAGTCCACCAGACAGTTTTGAATTAAATGGCGGGAGATACATTAATCCTTAGATACAACAAAACATTAAGAAAAAATAAAAAATGAATAACAGTCAATCCATATTTCTTGTATACTGTAAACGCCCAAATCTGTTTGACCCTTTAAACACCAACAACCAAAAGTTTTTCCCGTTCAGGAAAAACTAGGAAGAATATTAAGGAAAAATCTTTTTACTGCAGAATTAAGTCATTGAGTGAAATAAATTCTCATTTTTCGTCTCTTTTAAATCTAAATCTGACTGTCCTGGTCCTCTTTGGCTCAAACTGCCCCCCCCCACATGGGGCCTGTTGTGTTTGTCCAGGGCCCAAAGTCTTCCTTCATCACTCCGGAGAAGCGGGCCAAGCTCCGGTCCAACCCGGTGAAGGTCCACTTCGCAGAGGAGGTGGAGGTCAACGGTCACTCTCAGGTGAGTCCTCATCTCTACAGTCAAAGTGGCATTTGTGCTTTTTTTCTTTGGGAATTCGGTGTTTTGGGGAGGAGCTAGAGGACCCGGAAATAATCGGAGATCCCAGAAGAAACAACCAAAAGTCCAAACACAAACACAGAAACACTTCAACACAACAAACTCAGACTCAAAAACATAATACTGATATAAAAAAAGAGGAAAAAAGAGAACAAATAGAGAAAAAAAAGAGAAAAAAATGAAAAAAAAAGAGAAAAAAATGAAAATCTAAAATTAATTACGTCAAAGGGTCCAAAAAATAATGTAGAGCTTTTGTATAGAAAAGTTTAGGAATCACTAAAAACTGACAGTTCACATATTTGACCTGATTCCAGTTTTCAGTCGTGGATGTTTAAACGGCCTAGGTCAGGCTCAGGTGGTGTTTGTGTGTGTTCTCAGCAAAGATCTCGGTTTTTGTTCGGGTAGAAATCCTAAATTTAGCGTTTTGTAGAGCTGCTCAGCAGGGTCCCCTTTGCTCCATCCATCCAGTTCCTGGGGGGGTTGGGAGCCTTTGGGAGCCTGTTTCTGTCTCCATAAACCAGAATATGTAAATAATGGTGGACAACTAGACCAGTTTATGCAGCTTTCCTGTTGTTATAGTGGCTTTGAGATGATGTTTTACACCTGATTGAGTTCCATCAGAGTATCCGATTAGAAAGCCATTGTTCATTCAGTGCTTTAATATTTTAATATCTAAAGTCGATATACTCTGTCAGGATATTTGATGTAGAGTCTAGGGACGTCCCCATCCATCTTTTTTCACCAGGGATCCGATCCCGGCCTATCAGAGCATGTGTTAAAGTTTAAAGTTATTTATTCTACTTACTTAGTTGTCAGACTCATGTTTAACAGAGATTTACTCTGATAACATTTTAATGGTTAGGACACAGACCTGTGAGTTAGGAGATGCTAATGCTAATGCTAATGCTTAAGGCTGTGCTGGAAAATGACCGGACCGGACATTTGGGAACAACACAGCAAAGTGGTATGGATTATTTTTATTTATCATTATTATCTATTTTTATCTGTGTGCTGGAAAACACAGATTTTTTGGGGAATCTGACTTTTTTTTTTTTTTCAAACTGGATCTGGAGTCTGGATCGGCATTTTCTCCTGTCGGCCAACACGCAGTTTTTTTGCAAATATCGGCTGTGACACTTAGATCTGCAGTCTAGAGATGATAAAACCCAGAGCTTAATGAGCACAAGCACACGTTTAATCTCGAGCATGGACATCCAAACTGGGGGGAAATATTTAATTGGTTGTTGTACAGATACAGCTCTGGTGATTAGAAGAGGAATAGATTAAATAAATACAATAGTTTTCATTCCCAGTCTGAATGAACAGGCCTCTCCAGAGAACGACTTTCCTCTATTCTCACAGACCTTTTCAAAGAGGTTTCACATCACATCTTTAGCCCGCAAAAAGAAACTGAAAATGGAAAATCAGAGCACATTCTTTGATTTTCTTGACAGATTTGGTTTAGCGTCATCTGAATATTTTAACACTGATTTACTATTTTGCTGAGAAATTCATCTTTTGGAGTCTTAATCCTGCTAAAGTGAGATGTTAACATGGAAGCATCTGAAACATCTTCAAATTTAAGGTTGGAAATGTTTAGGTGAATGTACGTTTTCAGCCTCAAATGATGAAGATCTGACAGAGAATAAGCTTGGCAGCACACCAGACAGCCACACAAAGCCTCATTAATATTTCTGCCTGCTACATCATCTGCTATTTTGAGCTGAGTTTTTTCCCCCTCGTCACGCGGATCTGCGCTCCGAGGAGATTCAGCCGCAACTTTTCAATTAGGAACCGACTCGTCTGAGACTTCTGGGTTCATTTTCCTTTTTAAAGAGCTCATTCTCCTCCTTCTGGCTTTTTTTTGTGGAACAACAGAGCTCTTTAACGTGATTTATGAACGCAGTTACCCTCAGACGTTGACAGTTCTGGTCGTTTTGGGTTCAGATTATTCTCTAGTGCCTGTGGTCTTTGTTTCTTGGAGCCACAGTCTGGCCGGATGGGGTTCCCATCCTGTTGGCAGATGTGAAATTAGCCGGGTGGGAGCAAAGCCACACAGGCCGGAGTGCCCATTACCAGAGGCCCAGAAAGCCCCGATCGATATCTGCCCCGCCCTCCTTCATCTAATGTCTGCGATTACAGGACAGCTGGCTTCAAATGAGGGAGGGAAAAGCACAGATGGGGGGGGGGGGGATGGGGGAGGGGGGGTTGTACAACTACTCTGCTCCTCATTTGAACTTTAGATGGGCAGACATCAATGTTCAATCCAGAGAAACGCCTTCTGAAATCCGGTGGATGACCGTGCATTTCACACCTGGGCCTTCAGTAGAGCTCCGTCTGAATCAATTCACCCCTCAATAACGATTTTATGGTTATAAAAAGCATCTTATTATGTAGAAATACAGTATAAAGATCAGGGGTGCACAACTCTTCAACTACTGCATCAATAATATCCTCATAAACTCGTAATATTATTTAGAAAAAAAAACACATTTTACTCACTTACTTTTCTTGAAAATGGCCTTGACAGTAAATTTGCCACCAAATCAATTTCTTCTCCTCCTTCAGCCATTGTGGGTTGATAAAATAGCTATTACACCAACACAACTATATTTGGGTTTGTTTGCTAGCTTTGGCTGGTACGCTATCTGACTATCCAATCAGCGGGTGTGAACACAGTGACGTTCCCTTAGGCCTTCTAGAAGGCCCTGGTGTCACCAACCTAAAATCTGATTGGTTAAAGCAACAGTTTAATCAACATTTATTTTCTGTTAGAAGTCAGAACGGATTGTGAAGGCCTCCAGACAGACATCTTTGACTTTGACCCTGCCTAGCAACAAGTGATGGCTGAAATGTGATTGGTTAAATGCTTTTATATGAAAATGCATGTCTGGAAGCAGCACAACCAGGGGAAAAGCTATGAAAGAAAGCGGACGGATCATTTGGAAATATTTAATAAGTATTCATGGACAAAATATAATTAACATCAGTCTGTGATTGAGTTATTTTCTTAGGCCAGCACCACCACTGTTAAATCATAGAAAAACAGAGGGGGGGGGGGTCAGTGAAACAGAGATTTAAACGTCCCCCCCCGCCCAACGTCTTTCTTGACCTCTGATTGGCTGTTTGGTTCACAGGGGAACTCGCTGCTCTTCCTGCCGAATGTGCTGAAGGTGTATCTGGAGAATGGGCAAACCAAGGCCTTCAAATTTGAGTCCAGCACCACGGTGAAGGTACGTTGGACCAGCAGTCCTCAGTTTTTCGGTTTCTGAGGTGAAACTGAGGCTCGTTAAGAAGGTTTGAATCCTACTGGAAACCCAGTTCCTGCTGGATGAGCCAAAGGTCACAGGATTTAATTAATTAATTTAAAGTTACAAAGGAAAAATGATGCATCTGGAGAGCAAACTGATCAGAAACCAACAGTTTAAAGGGGACATATTATGCAAAACCCAGTTTTTATTCATTTGATTATGTACATTTGGGACTGTGGAGGGCCTATCAGCAGGCAAAGTGTAAAAAAAAAGGACTCAGTCATGTTTTTGTGGGCCGCCTCAGTCTGAATTCAGGAGATAAATCAGGAGGTTTCAGGAGTGGGTAGTTTCTGACGTCATTAGCTCTAGCTCATTATAATATTCCAGCCTTTCACCTGCATGTTGCCCCCCCCCTCAGCTTACTCCGCCTATCTGTGGAGACGTCCTGGTAGCGTGAGCGTTAGCATGGTAGCGTGGTAGCGTTAGCATGGTAGCGTTAGCGTGGTAGCGTTAGTGTGGTATCGTTAGCGTGGTAGCGTTAGCATGGTAGCGTTAGCGTGTCGACGTGGGCACACCTCCCTGAAGAAGTGGATGGATTGCCTGTGTCTCATTTGCATTTAAAGAGACAGGCACTCCAAAGCGAGCGCTCTGAACGGGGCTGTTTTGGGTTAGGGTTAGGGTTAGGGTTAGGGTTAGGCAGGGGGGCTGAACTGCTATTGGGCTTCATCCTTATGGGATTTTGACCAAAGCTTGTCACAGACGTTACATTAGGACACCAGGGAACTAGCTTAACGTGTTGAAATAGGGTCTAATATGTCTCCTTTAAGCTGGCGTCTCAGGCTTTGGTCTCCTGTGCTCTCCAGGACATCGTGATGACCCTGAAGGAGAAGCTCTCCCTGGGTAGAATCGAACACTTCTCCCTGGTGCTGGAGCAGCAGCTCAGCAGCAGCAAGCTGCTCCTGCTCCACGAGGAGGAGCGGATCCAGCAGGTAGGAACAGGGAGGCACGCTAACCTTAACCCTGACCCTAACCCTAACCTTAACCCTGACCCTGACCCTAACCCCGACCCTAAGCCTTACCCTAACCCTGACCCCTTAACCGTAACCCTGACCCTAACCTAAACCTGAACCTGACCCTAACCCTAACCCTGACCATGACCCTAACCCTGACCCTGACCCTAACCCTAAACCTGACCCTGACCCTAACCCTAACCCTAACCCTGACCATAACCCTAACCCTGACCCTAACTCTAATCATAACCATAACCCTGACCCTAATCCTAACCCTAACCTTGACCCTAACCCTAAACCTGACCCTAACCCTGACCATGACCCTAACCCTAAACCTGACCCTAACCCTGACCATGACCCTGACCCTAACTCTAACCTTGACCCTGACCCTAACCCTAACCCTAACCCCCGTGGGCTGAGCTTCCTTCAGGCTTCCCACCACGTGTCTCCGCCCCCAGGTGGTGCAGAAGAAGGAGGCCCATGACTACAGGTGTCTGTTCCGGGTTTGCTTCATGCCCAAAGACCTCCAGAGGCTGCTGAAAGATGACCCCGTGACCTTTGAGTACCTCTACCTGCAGGTGGGCCAGTGCTCCTCAGATGGCTTTTTTTACTCATTAATTATCACAATTCCCCCCTTTTTCTCTAAGTTGTAACTTTTGCTAATGTTTCTGAAACACACGCCCAAAGAAAATGAATGCTCAAAGAAAATGAACAGTCGGTTTGGTCTAACGTGCAGAAATAATCGTTATAGATATGAGTTAGAGTCCAGTGGAGGAGGGGGGGTTTAGGTTTCAGGTTTTTGGGCCCCAGAGCTGCCCACCTCTGGGTGAGTGGGGATGAAAAGCAGATCAAATGCGGAACATTTTAACACGTTTCTTACATAATCCGGCATTTCCAAACTCTTAAAGATGGCTCACAGGAAGCTACAGATTAAAAACTAGTCAGAATTCCTCTGGTTCCTGTTTTTTTCCTACACAATGCTGAGCCTCAGCTCTTTTCTTTGGCCTCCATCTGCTTCATGTTTGATTCTTCTAATAAATCTGCACCGATCTACATGGAAACATCCAATCATGGCAAACAGCCCGTAAATGATCCAAACTTTCACATCAGCAGAAAAGCACTCAGTCAGTTAGCTTCAGCTGAGTCTAAATAGGGTGTATAAACCCCCAAATTGTGTAGAAATTTGCATAAATCTCTTTATTAGGATTTTCTCAGTCTAGCTGAAAACAAACAAAAATGCTTTAGATAACAGTTAGTTCACAAACCAGCTGGGTTTGAAATGTGTCAGATGTGATGAAATGGTTTCCCTGTGGTGTCTTTAGTCTTATTCGGTCCGGTTTGTTGGTTCTGTGCTGTCAAACTGACCCAAACGTGCGCGTCAGGGCGTGAACGACGTGCTGCAGGAGCGCTTCGCCGTGGAGATGAGGTGCAACACGGCCCTGCGGCTGGCCGCGCTGCACATCCAGGAGCGGCTGGTCAGCTGTGGACAGTCCCCCAAAGCCAACCTGAAGACCATCACGTGAGGGACTCACGCTTATTTACACTTATTTTTGTTTATTTCTGCATATTTCTGTTTATTTCCGCTTATTTCTGATTATTTACGCTTATTTGCGCTTATTTCTGCTGATGTCTGCTTTTTTTCTATTTATTTCCCCTTATTTCTGCTTATTTACGCTTATTTCTGCTTATTTACGCTTATTTCTGCTTATTTACGCCAGAGTCGGAGCCTAAACCAAAGCACTACCTGCCAGTAGTTCAATCCATATTCAGTATTTATCTCTTCTGTCTTTAATTAAGAATATACTAGCCATGACTTGACCACAGATAGTTATATATACCTGTTTTTATTACACATAAACTTCACAAATGCAATGTTAGAATAGGTAGAATTAAGTGAATGATCTCCAATAAAACAGTCATTACCGATTTAAGGTTGCATTACATTACATTTCCTCATTAAGCAGAAGCTCTTATCCAAAGTGACTCTTTAGTGAAGAGCATCGAGCTTCAGTGGAGTCAGAAACCACTGCAATGACCATTAAGATCTCAATCAATCTGAGCGTAGAAGGAGTTTAGAAACGTGAAGTAAACCTGAGTTGGAGATGCTGAAGGAGGAGAGTAAAGGCAGAGAGAGATGCTCCATAGCCGGCAGATTCCTTAACCCTTTTAAGCCTGATCCAAGCAAAATAGGAAGAATATTGGATTTTTTTTTGTCTGAAGTCTTTCTTTGGCCCCTCAACAACATCTGAAGAAAAAAACAGAAATTATTTGATCAAATTAGCGTGCAATAAGTAAAAAAATATATATTGGTGTAGTCTTCTACTGGCTGTTATCAGGTATATCTGAATGTGTACAACAGGGGTTTGAGCAAAGCTTTTACCACTGAATGATGCAAAAAGTCTCAGATCCAAAAGACTTCAGAAACCGAATGTATCAAATATGACACATTTGGCATTATAGGGTTAAAACTCAGAGCTCAGACCGTCCCTCCTTAGCTCAGCCGTCCGTCCCCAGGCCGACTCTCACTCCCGAACCCCTGTGCTTTCTGCAGGAAGACCTGGGGAATAGAGAACTTTGTGTCGTCCACCCTGCTGAGGAACATGCGGGAGAAGGACCTGAGGAAGGCCATCGGCTACCACATGAAGAAGAGCCAGTCGCAGCAGGACCCCAAGCTGAAGAACATGTCCGTGGACCAGGCCCGGATCCACTACCTGGAGGAGCTGAGCGAGCTCAAGTGCTTCGGGGGGAAATCCTTTGGTGCCACCATGATGGTAAGACTTCCACCCGCTCACCTGTTAGAAACATCAGCCGAGCAAAAGCTAAGCAGACTGTAAACCGGGAACACACATATAGAAAACGGCTTCTTCTAAAGACACTTTTAACGGGGAGGCATTACGTCATTTGGAAAGATTTGAAATAAAGACAAAAACATCAGAACCAGTCAGTGAAACCTGCTTTCATCTGTATGGAAACACGAAGGGAACAAGAGGGTTATTACACCACAACGTAGAAGCTCTTTAGCCCAAACTATATCTATCAATACCTTTTCAAATAAAAACTTTATAAAATAAGAAACAACAAAGTTATATCTGATCAAGATTCTAAAATCTATTTATTTCCTGATATTCCTGAGTAGAAAATGTATTTGTATTGTCAGTTTGTCCTTTTTTTGGGCTGAAATTTGGGGGGAAAAGGTGGATTTTGCTTTGAAATTATGATGAGCTGAAAATGGTGAAACACTTAGAACTGCTTTAAATGTCAGAGTGAGTTAAATCTCCTCCTCTCTGAGACAAAGAAGAGACCCAAATTGTCCTCGGTTTGCTTTGGAGTCTGTTGCAGAGAGCCGTTTTTCCAAAACCAGCCAGGAAAGAGGCAGCAAACGAAGTAATCTGAAGCAGCAGAGACAGAAGGAAGAGCTCTGCTGAAGGCCTCTAGATCAGAGAACGTCTCCAGAAGGACGGATGGAAGGAGGCTGAGAGGGAAGCCGAGCGGCTGAGAAACCGATTCTGAGGCCTGCAGACGTACACCAAATAACCAAATAACCCCAGAAACTGTCAGAGAGGAGAAAAAAACCAGCAGAACAAGAAAGGAAGCTGCTACCAGAGCAGGGAGATTAAGTTTAAGCTGATTCTGACTGGAAAAGGAGCATTTATTAAGACTTAAATTTTATTTTTAAAGGGGTTTTTAACAGCTTTTTGAAAGATCTCTTCAAATATCTGCGTCTCTTCTTGTGGCCCGCAGCTCCAGGACCGGGAGTCCATGGTGACCCTGCTGGTGGGAGCGCGCTACGGGGTCAGTCAGGTGGTCAACCACAAGCTGAGCATACTGACCACCCTCACCGAGTTCTCCAGCATCACGCGCATCGAGCTGCTGCCCGAGTCCGAGAAAGTCAGCCTGGTCAAGATCTACCTGCAGGACATCAAGGTGAGACGGGGGGGGAGACCCCAGATGTGCCCAAAAAAAGCACAAAAAGCCAAAGAAGAGCAAGCTAAGATCCTTTTTGGCTCCCAGTCTGACAGCATCTGTGTCCTCTCTTTGCCCGAAGCCCATCACGTTGCTTTTGGAGGCAGCGGCGGCCAAAGACCTGTCCTGCCTGATATCGGGCTACTGCCGCGTGTTTGTGGACCCCAGCCTCAACATCTTTCCCTGGATGGACGACAAGAGGCACCGAGTGTCTGCAGAGGAAGGTACAGAGGCACGAAAGCTCCCAACAGACAGTCAGTTCTTTGATGTTTAATGCAGGGTTTGAAATGGGGGGGCGCATCCTTTACTGTCCGGGCGTGGGAAAATCAAAACCTGTTAGCCTGTTTTTACATCAAATACATCGAAAATAAACAGGGATTCAACAAAAGAAAAGTTTTCATTTGAAATTCATCCTCCGGCCACATTATCTTTTGGCCTATTTTGGGCTGATGTGGGTCAGTTTGGGGAGGCTTTGGACCAGTTTTGGACCAGTTTAGCCCCCTTTTGGACCGGTTTGTGTTAGTTTTGGGTTAGTTTGGGTCCATTCAGACCAGTTTGGGTCAATTTTGGACCGGTTTGGGTCCATTTTGGGCTGGACTGGGTTGGTTTGGATGAGTTCGGGTCAGTTTTGGACCAGTTTAAGTCCGTTTTGGACCAGTTTGGGTCCCTCTTGGGCTGGATTGGGTTAGTTTGGGTCGTGCGCTCAGCTCCGTGGAGTCTAATGGGTTGGAACATGAAGTTTTCATATCAAATACATGCAAAATAAACAGGGAATCAACAAAAAAAACGTTTTAATTTGAAATGCATCGTCCCTCCATGTTATCTTTTGGCCTATTTTGGGGTCAGTTTGGGCAGGCTTTGGACAAGTTTTGGACCGGTTTAGCCCCCTTTTGGACTGGTTTATGTTAGTTTTGGGTTAGTTTGAGTCCATTTTGGACCAGTTTGGGTCCGTTTTGGACCAGTTTGGGCCCCTTTTGGGATGGATTGGGTTAGTTTGGGTCAAACATGCCAGTTCCTCAGCTCTCCTTAAGAGCCGAGGAACTGGCTGCCTGAAAACATCTCTCTGTAGCCTTTTTCTTCTCCTTTACTTTAGTTGTTTGGATTTAGATGGTCCTGAGCAGCTAGAAATAAAGTACAAGAACAAGTAGAGGTCCTTTGACCAGGTGATAGCCGGTTAAAGGAAATGTTTCCCCCCATTTAAGGTTTTTATCTTCTTTCCTTTCCTCGAGCTCAGGGCTTAAAGTGACGTGCACATGCTCTCTTCCAGGTTACGTGTCTCGGTGTGGAAGCGACTCCGACTCCTCCTCGGACCTGGACGCGGAGCCGCTGCTCAGCCTGGCGTCCCAGGACGACAGGCCCCGCCCACGCGTGCGCTCGTCCTCCGACCCGGACGGCCGGAAACGGAAAGACCGGCACCGGTGGAGAACCAGGGACGGCCGGGAGAAGCTGGACAAAGCCCGGGAGGGCCCCAAGTGCCCGGAGGAGAAGGACGCCGGCACCGAAAAGGAGACGGTTCCCCCGGAGACGAACGGCGAGGAGCCGGTCCAGATCCAGATAGTGGACGGCAACCCGCAGGGACAAAAAGGCGGAGGGGCGGCGGAGGAGCCGGTGTCTGTGTCCGAGGCCTCCGACTCCTGTCAGACGGACTCCCGCGTCCTCACCAGCCCCTCCAGCGACTCCCTGGACGCCCTGGAGGAAGACGACCTGGTCTCCTGCTCCTCTTCCTCCGCCCGCCCCTCCTCACAGACGAACTCCTGCCCCCCCCTCCCCCTCCAGCTGCACCCCCCCTCGGACCGTTCTGCCCATCCTCACTTCCTGCTCCCTCCCCCCGCCCACTCGCACCCCCTCATCCAGCTCCCGGCCGTGGGCAGGCCGGGAGGAAGAGGAGGCTGCAGGAGGTCGGGCGACGGGGCGGACCCCCGCCTCCTGGCGCCCGGCTTAGGCTCCGCCCCCTCGCCGCTCGGCCCGGACGACAGCTCCTTGTGCTTCGCCGAGCTCTCCCTGCTGGTGGACCTGCTGCCCAGCCCGCCCGAGGCCAGCGAGGAGGAGGACGAGGAGGAGGAGCAGGAGGAGGACAGGAGGGAGAGCGGCGGCGGCGTGCGGAGAGCGGCGGGCGAAGGGGGCGGGGCCTCCGCCTCGCCGTCCTCGCCCTCCTCCCACTCGGACTTCGTGTTCAGCTTCAGCCAGAGCGACGCGCGCTGCTACTACAGCCTCTGCTCCAACATCACCCCCGACAGCGCCCGCAGCCTGCCCCGCCCACAGCACCTGGAGCTGCGGGGGGGCTGGGGGGAGGGGGCCCAGGAGGCCCGGGAGAACCAGGACAACCAGGAGAACCAGGGGGACCAGGGGGACCCGGATGCCCAGGAGGACCCGGAGCCCGTCCCCATCCTCCACCCGCCCCCCGGCTTTGGGGACAGCAGCTCGGACGAGGAGTTCTTCGACGCCAGGGACCGTTTCACCTCACCTGAGGACCCCACGTCGGGCGCCGTGCCCAGAGGTGACTCCAGAGTTCACTCAGAGGCTCAACGCCACGCGCTTCTGCTTTATTTATCACGTAGAAAAGGTCAATTCCAGCTTTGCTGCCACCTGGTGGCCGAAGCCTCAACTGCTTAAAAAGCTGAAGCAGGCTCGTAAAAAGTGAATGTTTTTCTCCACAAAACATGAAAAATACATTAGCTGTGCTTTAAAATTAGCGGACGGCTTTAGTTTTAATGTAAAATGTTATGTAACTTTCCCTTTTATTCCGTAGGCTGTATTTTCTTGTTTTTCTAAAGAGAAATTCATTACTTTACTGGCTGACGTCACATGCTCAGGTCATCACACCATTTGTCCCATTAAGGTTTTTTGGGGCGTTTTTTGTTCTTTTACTTCAAGCAAGCCTCAAATTGATTTAAAAATCAAAAATATAAATTGTGAGACTGACTCTCTGACGGCCGATGCTGCCTAAACACACACAAAACACACATTCATTGATCTTATTGATCACAAGAGCAGTTATTTTATATGGACCTGTGTTAAGACCCATCGTGAAACATGATAGCCGCTCAGCTCAGTGGATAAGCATGAAACATCTTTATGATCTGATTCATTCATGTTTCATAGAAGCAATGAATTATATAGATCATTCACACACACACACACACAGAGACACACAGATAAGTGTTGTTACCTCTCCAGTTTGAATGGCACAATAAATTAAAGATGAGGAGGTAGAGCTTTAGAGATCTGAAGCACCATAAGCCACTTTTAATGTGTTTAACTCATCCAAATTAGTAATTTTTTTCATCATATGACACAAAGGAAATGTTTACATTCACAATTAAAAGAAATGAGACTTTCCATAATGAGGGAAAGGCTACAGAATGCTTATATAATAATTGAATATGATCAAATATTACATTAAAATGTTCATGTTTATTGGGATTCTTCTCTAAGAGGGCTTTAAATCTCTGTTGTTTCTTCATATTCAATCAACACCCTTTTTGTCCAAACTATTGGATTCCAGACAATTTCATGAAATACTTCTGGTCTATTAAATATTTTAGGAATAAATCCTTTGAATATTTTCATTTCATATTGTTAGTTTTATGTTGGATCTGGAAGTTTAGACTTTTTAAAAACTTTTTAACATCGCCTTAAGAGCCAAACTTGGCCAGTTTTGAAAAGATCTCATCAAAGTATCCGTGGAAAAATGCATATATGTGTGACGCAGATAATACTACATTATTTAAGAAACAGAAACATTCAAGCGTCAGACCCAAATCTCAAGGAGAGTGCTGGTGATAATCTTCTTGCTGCTTCTCATTTAGCCGTCAATCTACAGATATAAGGAGGAGAAACAAGCGAACGCTGTAACTCGTTTTTGGCATTTGCTTTTGTGTGTTGTTGCCTTCTCCCGGACACCCAAACCGGCCGGTCTGATCCTGTTTTTCTGTGCCGTTTTGCAGATGCTCGCACCCGGATGAGGCTGGGCCTCCTCGGCACGCTGAGCCTGAACGACATCAGCGTGTCGGTGGAGGACGGTGAGCCGGCCGCTGACCGGAGGCCGGCGCCGGAGGAGGAGGGGGGCGGCCGGGAAACGCTGCTGCACCTCCGGAAAAGGTCCCGGAAGCGCCGCTCCTTCATGGAGACCGACTTCACCTCCCGGGTGACGTATCCGTATCCGGACCCGGATCCGGAATCCAAGCACAACCCGACCTCCGACCGGCTCCTCGGACACGTCTCGGCCGGGGTGAACCACGGCCAGATGCTGGCCTCGGACCCGGAGCCCTCCGAGCAGAGCCAGAACCCGAGTCCCACCGTCTCCTCGCTCACGCACGCCGAGGGGGAGCCGGCCCAGCTGGAGGCCAAACCCATCCCCTCCAAAGCCCACCCCCCGGGGCCGGACCTGAAATCCCCCTCCAGGAAACAGGAGATGGAGATGGAGCCGGACACCATGGAGTCCAAATCGGTGACGGACCTGGTGGCGGCGGCCCCCCCCACCATCACCGTGGTCCGCTGTCGGGTGGACCCGGACGGGAAGGAGAGCGCCGACCGGCGGGGCGACGGAAAGGAGGAGGGGGAGGGACGGGACGGGGCGGGGAAGGAGGACCCGTCCAGCCTGAAAGGGCCGTTCTCCAGCCACATGTTCCTGCCCGCCGCCCCCCAGAGGAGCGAGCAGGGGGGGGGGCAGGACAGAGGGCCTGAGGGGACTTTCCCCCAGCGTGGAGAGGCCGCTTTTAGGGGCCGAGGCTCCGGCTTCCCGGTCGCCTTCCCCACAAATAAACGCCCACGGGGAGGATTTTATACCCGGATCCTGTCCTCCCCCTGCCCCCCCTCCGCCCTCCCCTCTGCCACCCGTCCACGACTCTGAAAAGGTGGAAACCGAGTCAGAACAGGAGGACGAGAGCCCAGAGGGAGGTGACCAGGCCCCCGACGCCCAGCCCCACCCAGCAGCGGCCCCCAGCATGAAGGACGAGGAGGCCCCCGAATCCACGGTAACGGACAGCACCAACTCTGACGACGTCTTCGAGGATGAGGAGGACGAAGACGCTGAATCCAGCTCCTCAAACGATGGCTGGGGCGATCAGATGGAGGAGGGGGTCGCATCTGCGAAGCGTCCGGAGTCTCCCCCGGACTCCGAGGCTCCGGCAGGAAGTCCGGTCAGCTCCCACTACACTCTGGCCATCAACGCCATCACGGCCAAGCTGGGCGCCGCCACCAGCATCACGTCCCCGACCTTCACCTCAGGGCTGAAAACCGAGGCCCCGCCCCAGAGCGCCCCCCCGGATCCAGTCCAGAGCCTGAGGAAGGCTCACACCCCCCACTTCCACGACGCCTCCAGGGAGCCGGCGGCCGCCGCCCACTTCCTGTTCCAGACCTGCTCGCCCGCCTTCATGGGCCGGCTGTCCGCCTCCACGCTCAGGGGGAAGATCCAGAGTCTGCCCCTGTATCTGTCGCGCTCACAGGACGGCCTGAACCGGGCCGGGGATGGGAGCCCCGCCCAGAGTCCCGCCCAAAGCCCCGCCCAGAGCCCCGCCCAGAGCCCGGCGGAGGGCGGCCAGAGGGGCCTCCCAGAGGTCACCATCAGCGTGACGGACGTCCACGACGTCACGCAGACGCTGGACCTGGACGCCGGCGCGGAGGGGGACTCTGCCGAGTCGGACGATTCGGACGCCACGCTGACCGGATCCGAGGTGGACGGGGAGTTCTTTGTGGAGACGGCCTCAGCCAAGAGTTTTCCAGCCGAGTTAAAAGAAGCCAGCGGTCAGGAGCCGGTCCAGACTGAGCCCAAACGCCAGGACCAGGGTCAGCTTGTAGATCAGCCCCTAGAACAGCCTCTGGGTCAGAATCTGGTTCAGAATCACGTTCAGCCTCTGGGTCAGAATCTGGTTCAGCCTCTAGTTCAGAATCAGGTTCAGCATCTGGGTCAGCCTCTGGTTCAGCCTCTGGGTCAGCCTCTGGGTCAGAATCAGGTTCAGCCTCTGAGTCAGAATCAGGTCCAGCCTTTGGGTCAGAACCTGGGTCAGCCTCTGGTCCAGCCTCTGCACGCCGGGCTGAACCAGAGCACGCCGGGGCCTGTAACGGAGCCCCCGGCCTCCATAGTGAGCCTCCTCCAAAGAGACTTCTTCCCTGGACCCATAAAAGACCCAAGCATAAAAACCAGAGCCCCAGAGGAAGTCCCAGCTACCAAACCGAGCCCTCCTCTAGGAACTGCTACCAAAACGAACCCTCCTCTAGGTCCAGCTACCAAACCGAGCACTCCTCTAGGAACTGCTACCAAAACTAGCCCTCCTCTAGGTCCAGCTACCAAACCGAGCCCTCCTCTAGGAACTGCTACCAAAACTAGCCCTCCTCTAGGTTCTGCTACCAAAACTAGCGCTCCTCTAGGTTCTGCTACCAAAACCAGCCCTCCTCTAGGTTCTCCTACCAAAACAACCTCCTCATTAGGTTCTCCTACCAAAACAAACCCCCCTCTAGGTTCTCCTACTAAGACTAGCCCTCCTCTAGGTTTTCCTACCAAAACGAGCTCCCCTCTAGGTTATTCTACCAAAACGAGCCCTCCTCTAGGTTTTCCTACAAAAACAAACCCTCCTCTAGGTTCTCCTACCAAAACTAGCCCTCCTTTAGGTTCTTCTACCAAAACAAACCCTCCTCTAGGTTCTCCTACTAAGACTAGCCCTCCTCTAGGTTATCCTACCAAAACGAGCTCCCCTCTAGGTTCTCCTACTAAAACTAGCCCCCCTCTAACTTCTCCTACCAAAACAAACCCTCCTCTAGGTTTTCCTACCACAACGAGCCCTCCTTTACGTTGTTCTACCAAAACAAGCCCTCCTCTATGTCCTCCTACCAAAACGAGCTCCTCTTTAGGTTCTCCTACTAAGACGAGCCCTCCTCTAGGTTTTCCTACCCAAACAAGCTCCCCTCTGGGTTCTCCTACCAAAACAAGTCCTCCTCTAGATTCTTCTACCAGAACGAACCCTCCTCTAGGTTTTCCTACCAAAACGAACCCTCTTCTAGGTTTTCCTACCAAAACGAACCCTCCTCTAGGTTCTTCTAACAAAACAAACCCTCCTCTATGCTCTCCTACCACAACAAGCTCCTCTTTAGGTTCTCCTACTAAGACGAGCCCTCCTCTAGGTTTTCCCACCAAAACCAGCTCCCCTCTAGGTTCTCCTACCAAAACAAGCTCCTCATTAGGTTCTCCTTCTAAGACGAACCCTCCTCTAGGTTTTCCCACCAAAACCAGCTCCCCTCTGGGTTCTCCAACTAAAACGAGCCCTCCCCCAGGTCCGGCCCCTCCCGCGGTGGTGGTGACGACGCAGAGCCTGAACGGGCCGGGCTTCCCCTTCCACGGTCAGTCTCAGAGAGTAGCGAAGGCCAGTAGTGAGAGGCCCCTAGTGGGGCTGTGTAGGCCCTGGGGGCAGCAGCCCGACTCACCGGGGGGGCTCTCCGCCGGCTGCAGGGTGTCCACCGTCTGCGAGGCTCCGGCCCGGGGGGGGGGGCCCGCCCCGCCGCTGAAGCCCGGCTTTGGCTGCGGCCCGGCGCTGGCGTCCGGGTGCGAGTCCCTGGCGGAGGGGGTGCAGCCCCCCCTGGAGGCCTGCGGCTGCCCACCCGCCTACACCAACTGCTTCGGGGGGGAGGAGGACGCCTTCGACGAGGAGCTGACCGTCTACGAGTTCTCCTGCCGCGCCCAGATCTCCGCCGGGGGCCTCCCCCTCATCACCTCCCCCCCCCCCCCCCCCTCCTTCCCCCCCCCCCCCCTCCGCCCACTCCCCCTCCTTCCCGCGCTCCATCCTCTTCTCCTCCGAGCTCAGCCCCCTGCTCTCGCCCTTATCCACCGACCCAGACCCAGACCCCCTGGGCCAACTGGGCCGGGGGGAGTACCCGGACCCCCCCGGGGGCTTCCAGCTGCTCCGCCTGGACGTGGACAAGCTGCTGGGGGCCCTGGAGGGCGGGCCGGCCGACCGCCGCGGCGGGCGCCACCCGCGGGACGCCTGCCCCCGCCACTTCACGGAGAGCAAGCGGCTGCTGCAGCTGGAGGCGCGGCGGCTGACGGCGGGCTGCCAGCGGGCGGCGGCCGGCGGCCAGAGCCCCCCCGACATGCTGCGGGCGCTGGCCGGCAGCTTCCGCACGCTGGTGGAGCTGGCCGGCGTCTGCCTGCGCCTCTCCGGCTGCCAGCGCTGCGACCGCCGCAACGGCGAGGCGGCGGCCGGCCTGGCCGACGTGGCGCGGGCCTTCCGGGACTTCTGCCTGGCGGCGGAGCGCGCCAGCGGCCGCCGCGGCTGCCGGGACCTCAGCCGCAAGCTGCTGGCCAAGCAGTGCACGGCGCTCACCGCCTCCGTCTTCTGCCTCACGCAGCTGTTCCGCACCCTCACCGCCCTGTGACCGACGGCAGGAGGAAGCTAAGGAGGGATGCCACAACGCCACACACATCCAGGTCGGACATTTTGATTAGGTCACCAACAGGAAGATCCCAGGCAAGAAAATGGTAATTGACTCATGGCATTATAAGTATTAATTTAGAAATAGTTAAATTAATCTGGCAAACACTGAATTAAACTCTATACATAATAATATGTTAAAATAGTGGATGTTAAATAGGTTTGTACAAAAACTCCAAACAAGTTTAACCAAAAAATATTTATTACTCACAATTATGAAGGGTGGAGGGTTAGGGTTAGGGTCAGGATTAAGGTTGGGTTTAGGGTCAGGGTTAGGGTTAGGTTTAGGGTCAGGGTCAGGGTTAGTGTTAGGGTTAGGGTCAGGGTTAGGGTCAGGGTTAGGGTTAGGGTCAGGACATCGTTTGTCTTTTGATTTCGTATTGACAGTAAAGTTTCGTTTCCACCTCAGAAAGCTGCTAGTCACATGACCTAATCAAAATGGCCGACTTGGATGTGGGAGGAGTTGGATATCCAGCCGAGGCTCCTACAGACTGCAGCCAGAGGCTATTCACCGGGGGGCGGAGCTACAAGAACCCCACAGACACAAAAGAAGCACAGAGTCCTGGGAACTGAAGTACTTGAATGTATCTGTTGGTTTTATTCATTCCTTTGGCTTATTTATTTATTTATTTGCCGAGCTGCCGTGGCCGGCTGATCAGAGACACACAAGAGGAGCAGTTTTTTAGCCAAGGACACGGTCACAGAGTAAATGTGTGATGCTTCCGGGATTCCCAGTCCCAGTATCTGCTGATCTTCTCTGGAGAAGACGATGAGGACATCGGCCGTGGGGACTATTTGAATGTTGCTGTTTACAAAACCAAAAAAACTAGCGGGAGAAAGGATCCGAGTCCAGCCTGAAGGCGTTTTATAACCCCAGCGTCGGGGTCCGTGGACGAGCTCCATTCAGGGTCGGGGCAGGTCTGCACGCACATTTCCAGGAAATGCGATGCAACAAACAGCTTTTCTCTCTCAAAAAGCTGCACCTTCTGTCCCCCCCCCCCCCCCCGCAGTTCCAGGCCGAACCCTCTCGTGCATGATGGTACCGTCAACCCTGTTTTTCCTTTTCATGATTTATTTATTTTTCTATGTGGTGCGGACATATGCATGGAGGCCGAGAGTCTCCAGACCGTAAAAGAAGGTTGATAATAATAATAATAAGTATTTATAGAATGTTCCATAGTTTTATGACAGCTTTTCATGAGTTTCAGACTTTGTTTCAAGATGACTGAAACCTGCACACCTCCGTTTGAGCTCTGAGACACAGATTTCTACGAACCTGTCTCCTACACTAAGTGCTTTATTACTGCAGATGACCACAAATAGTAGTAATCCAGTGAACGAAATTTGGTCACAGATTGCCCAAACAGAGCATGATTACCGTATGCAGTATTACGTCTGGACCGTTCGAGCTTCAGCAGCCTTTGACTGACCCTCCGCGTCGGCAGGAGGACATAAAGCCGGTCCAGTGATAAACACCGTTCCACACTGATTTGCTTAGAGCGTATTTTAGTGGATGAGCTGTTGCGCGGCGGCAGCTTCACGAGGAATGTTTCTTAGAATAAAAAAGCCTTGACGCACACTGGACCTGCATGTTCACAGGAACAACTCACCACTCCAGTCTGGGAACACGACAAAATGCTGACTATTTATATTTCTAAAGAATGAGTTTGTTCACTTGTAGTGTTTGGTTCCATTTGGCTGCATCAGAATATAGTTTCTTGTACTTTACTCGCGGTTTGCATCAGTGAGGAACTCGTCCTCTTTTTACCACATCCTCCATCTGGAAATGGTCTCAAACCAGTAAAGGAATGGGTTCCTTTCGGATCGTCGATGCTCACCAAGCATGCCGTTACAAGCCATAAAACTCTTGTTTTATCAGGGATTTTATCTGTGAATGACTGAGTCGTGAGGTCTGCTCTTGCTTTGTAACCTTCAACCCACCATTAAAAACATCGTTAAGATCTGTTCATGATGTCTTCACTGCTCATTCAGCCACCCTCATCTCAGCAGGGGGCCGAACGGAGTCGCACACCTTTGTCATGTGACCACCAGAGAGTCCAAAAAAGGCCCCGGCGTCTGACCTCAGGTCTGTCCAGGTGTGTGTTGGGCAGGAGGAGGACAGTAAACTGTGGAGGGTTGAAATATGATGGCTGATCGGAGTATAAATAATAATAATAATATATGAATGATCCCGTTTGGCTTAACCAAGAATGTATCAATCCATCAAGAAGCTGAGAAAAGTGTGTCAATCAATAATGTTTTATTTCTGAAGCATCAATAAGCGTAGTTCATTATCTCTTTAAAAGCACCATCATTCATCTCAATCAAAGTCTGATTAACTTTTAGATAATTACCTCCATTCACATCAAACTAATTTAAGTTGGTTAAACCGATGAAGAATCATCTTTGTACGGGTGTCTTTTTATAATCCAGAAATAAGGGTGTCTTTTTATAATCCAGATATAACAGATTAAGGAAGCAGAAGAGATCATCAAACTTGAAGGTGAGTTTTTACAGTTTTACAGGTGGCTAACCCCCAAGTTGTACTTTTACTCACAGGGATAAAACCGCGTTACTCGTCTTTCTGTGAGCTCTTTGTTATTTTTGTGTGCTCAATGTCATTATTGAATACCTGAATTAAGTGGATGCAAGTCCAGGATGGTCATTGGCTCTTTCCAGGTGACGTGTTGTACATGCTTTATTTGCAGAATTGCGTTATTCTTATACTTTTAACTGCCATAAATTTCAAATGAGCGTTTAAATAGTCTATCGTATCTCAGCTGTCATTGTTGATTTAGACCAAAAACGGTTTACTATTAACTCGGTTTTATTAGCTTGAAAACGTAGAAACAGGAGATAATGAACCATCGTCAGTACCTGTGAAAATTAAATAACACAATTAATCTATTTTTCAGCGGTAAAAACTAAACTTTTAATTAATTTCAGGACGCAGTTTGCGTTGTGTGACGTCAGATGTAGCCGTTGGGCTAAACAAGCTAGTGGCTAACGTTAGCTACATTATAGACAGATTTAGGTGGTTTATACTTTATAATAAGCCTTAAATCCCTCACAAAATGTCCTAAAACATTATATTAAATTAAATTTGACAATAATGAGTTGGCTAAAGCTAGAAGTCTTTACATTTTCATCCGTTTGGGCAGTTAGACTGTTAGCCTCCCCGAACAGAAAAGTATTGCAGCTAACATATTAGCCGGCAGTTGGCTTCATTTGTAGCTAATAATGGCAGATGGAGGTGTTATTTTAGATTTATTTTGGGAGACGTGTGTGTTTAAAAGACCCAAAACGATCGTGTTTGGTTCACCTGGGAGTATATAATCAATATTTCAGAATTGTTTTTTCTATAGTCAGAGCACTTAGTTGCATTATTTAGCTGAATGTATCATCCCCAAATTATATTAAGGGTGTGATGATGGTATTTCTTGGGTTCATCTGGAAAATGTTGGTGAAACACTTTAAAGTCACGTTGGCCGGTCGGAGGGACCTTGGAGCCGGAATTGTGTCGATAATCTGTCAGATAATCTGGATTAGGCCTCCTAACTGCCGCTGTCTGTCGTGTCTGCTGTCGGCCGGTCGCTTTAACGGGCTGAGAAACATGGAAAAACATGGAAAAAACACTTATTTACAAGACAAACACGAGGAAAATGGCAGAAAAGTGCGTCTCTGAGGTAAAAGTGCCATTATTAGTGTTCATATTTGGAGATGACAGAAGTTTTCTTTTGCTTTTTGTCGACATGTGATAAATTTTGATGATTGAACAGAGTTTGAATGGAACTTTGAGCAAATGGAGCTGATAAATAAGCATTAATTTGATATCTTTTTATGTTTATTATATTTAAACAAACTGCCTAAATGAGTAAAAGTGGGTGAGTGAAACATATTCTAATGTATTTCTTACTACTAAGAGTCCAGACCACCAATCCCGGTGTAATCCCTGTGTTGTGGCAGATGTTTCATTATGTCATTATTGCAGCTGCTCTGGGATTTATCTCACATCTCACATCTGTCACCCTGATGATAATGGACCCAGAGGCAGACAGCCCCGGTTGACCACTGAACAGCCCGTTTAGTCTGAGCTGAAGCTGGAGCGGCTGCACGTTTTCCTTCTCTTTCCTCAGAAATAAAGAGCTGACTCTGCCACACCGAGAGCAGGCCGAGTGTCCGGTGGGGAGAAGGGACGGCTGGAGCTTTTTTCTGCCGGGACGTGAGCGGGACGGAGCGGGCCATGCGGGGGTGCGGGGCCGGGGCCAGGCCGCGCCACTGGCTGACGCTGCTCTCCGGGATGCTGGAGTGTCTGGGCTTCGCAGGGGTGGTGTTCGGCTTCGCCTCCCTGGTGTTTGTGCTGAAGGAGGAGGGGTACTTCGGCGAGCTGTGTGGCAGCCCCTCCAACAGCAGCAGCGGCCTGCCGCTGACCGGTGAGCAACTCTGGGGCCGTAGCTGGAAAACGCTGTGCACATTTTGAACTCTTTTAAACAGCCAGCAATCTGCACCAAAAGCACCAAAACAACAATAGACTCAATTAAGTTTGATTCATGTGGCAAGAAAAGTACAACCAAAAGCAATATTAGAGCAGTTTACACATATAAAACTACCAATTTTTATGTATTTTTTTACTTATTGAGGGTTTTTTTCACAAATCCTGGTCCAAAGAGCTCTGTGAACAAAGGAAACCATCAGTAAGGTAACAGGAATGGTTAGTAAATCCAGAGAAAACGTAGCATATTTCAGAGCAAAAGCAAGTTTTTTAGGCATACAGAAGGGAATAAACATGTTTCTCTGGATGTTTATCAATGATAAACGGACTAGAAAAGGGAGGGTAAACTCTGGTGAACTCGTTTAAAAGAGTTCAATAAGTCAAATAAATCTGCATTTGTAAGGTGTTAAACTGTTAAAATTTATCTCGTAGCCTGCAGCAGTCAGGACGAG